CTCGCAGGGCATTATGAACATGCCCGCCGGCGGCCCTCCCTCGATAAGGTACGTGGAATCTCATCACCTCAGCATCCAAACAACATCTAACAATGCGCAGACGGATAAGCGAGAAGTACGATAAGCCCTTCGCGGTAGGCTGCCTCGAGCCGCAGGTCAACGGACCCCGAGCAAACGCTGCATTCGTAGTCCTAGCGAGAAACAAGGAGTTGGATGGTGTCATACAGTCGGTCAAGTCGATTGAGAGACATTTCAATCGGTGGTTCCACTACCCATATGTCTTCCTCAACGACGGAGACTTCAACGAGACGTTCAGGGAGACGGTCTTGGCTCATGTCAGTGCTCCAGTGGAGTGGGGTAAGATCCCTCCCGAGCAATGGGGCTTCCCCGACTGGGTAGATCCAGATGTTGCGAAGGAAGGAATCGCCAAGCAGGGTGACAGGGCCATCATGTACGGTGGTATGGAGAGCTACCATCACATGTGCAGGTTCTATTCGGGGTATGTAACCTAGCATGCTTTCTCCTGATTGCCACTAACACGGACAGTAAATTTTACCAACACGAACTACTCGCCAAGTACGACTGGTACTGGCGCCTCGAGCCTGAGATCAAGTACTTCTGCGACATCACATACGATCCCTTTATCCACATGATCCGGAACAAGAAGACATATGGCTTCACCATCGCGGTGAAGGAGCTACGAGAAACCGTCCCCAACATCTGGCGATATGCCTCGGCCTACAAGCGTAACAACAACCTGACCTCCAAGGGCATGTGGGAGATGTTTGTGGAGAAACCGAAAGAGGAGGACGAGAAGGCGCCCAAGACAGAGCCCAAGTCGAAGAAGAACTTCTTTCCTCAGGATATAATGGATGCCGAGTTCGGCACAGAGGCCATGCCTGAAATCCACCCTGAGAACATGGAGGGCGAATCGTACAACATGTGCCATTTCTGGAGCAATTTCGAGATCGCGAACCTGAATTGGTTCCGCAGCAAGGAGTACAATGACTTCTTCGAGCTGATGGATCGCAGTGGTGGCTTCTGGATGGAGAGATGGGGAGATGCGCCTATCCACTCGCTAGCTGTTGGTGCACTACTTGGCCCTGAGGATATCCACTACTTCCGCGACTTTGGATACCGGCATACGACCATCCAACATTGTCCCGCCAACGCACCTGCGCGACAACTCGCCCGAGAGCCATATCTTGAGAAGACGACACTCGACGAGAAGGAGCGACTGGAAGAAGACAAGTACTGGGCGTCATATGACCCAGTCAAGGAAAACGGTGTCGGCTGTCGCTGCAAATGCGACCAGGACATTGTCGACGTAGAGGGCAAAGAAGGGTCCTGCCTCACGGAATGGGTAGAAGTGGCTGGTGGCTGGGCATCACCTGGGCCTGACGGACCATGATCTCTCCTTCTCGCGTGGTATTCTATCAGCTTCAGGCTAGCATTTTGCGGGAACATTAGCATCTACTCCTCTTTCCAGTAAGGCGTCAGGTGTTGGCATTGCATATGGGCTGGGCCGCCCTTCAATAGAGCATCAGGACTACGCGGGCGTCGTTGCAGGCTTACTTACTTTCTGCGCATTGGCGACACAGTGTATGAGAACGAATACGAACAAGTTGAAAACAGCTCTGCTCTTGAATGATGCCTTGTTGTTTGGTCATGGGACTACTTGCTTTAGGTGACGGCCCCACCCCATTCAACGGGAAGGTCGAACATCAACCTCTTGAAAGAATAATATACGTAGATCGACCATAAATCGACATCGCCTCAGCATCTTACTCAGCCTTATTGTTGTGCTGATGTAGACTGCAGCGCGCCTGTTCCGTTTCAATGAATGAGGTGGCCCGCTGTGGACATGTGAACCATGTTCCGTATCTTATCGCTTACTACGAGACTATGCGGGGTTACCCCCATTCGCATCCCACCTAAGCTCGACCGTCCATCAGCACCTTGTCGTCACCACAACTCGCAGCAGTTTGAACAGTCGCGCGTCTCTCGCATTCACTGACAGCATCTCTGCAGTCCTACACTTCACTTATCAGGCTATCAGTGTGCAATCTGGTATGTGCTGTCACCTGCTCCCGCTGGTCCCCACTTCCTCCCGAAGGCCCCCATACGCGCCTCGCCCGCAGCTAGTTAGGCAGCGTCCACCTGGTGCCCACCACAACCTCACCTTGACCGTTCCCCCCTCTCTCCTTCCACCACACTCGGATCGCTTTGAACCTCTGATCACACTGGATTTCGCATGAAAACAGGCTGACATGTCTTCCAGCGAGCCTAACTCCTCTCAGGATCTCAAGTTCCCCCCTGTGCAGGTGGCCCACTCGCTCACTAAGCTTGATCTTGAAACGCTCATGATGAGGTCGACTCAGCGCCGAGCCCCAGAAGAGGCGGGCAGCTCTCTCGACGACAGCAGCTATGACCTGCTCGGCGACGGCGTCATGGACATGTCTGACGACGAAGCCCATACCGAGTCGATCGCGTCCACCGACGGTCCCACGCCCGATGACACGTCTGACGATTTCAGTGATGACGACGTCGAGTACGAAGCCGGCGAGCATCACTTACAAGATAGCACATACTCTTCGCACGGCGAATCCCAAGAGCAGCAAACCCACGTACACCCTATACTATCTGGCGAAGACTCCTCCCTGACAGAGGTTCCGCCATACCTGAGTGGGAGCATGAGCTCAAGGCATTTCGTACTCCAAGAGCAGGGCACGGGCAGTTCTGATGTAAGCCATGGAAGCAGCGTCATCAAGAGCTCGGCAGGTTATACGGACGAGCTACCACCGGTGTTCGACCGTTATGGCTGCAAAGAGATTAGATTGTCGGTCAAGGCAGCCTTGTCCAAGGACCCCCTCGCCACCCCAGACGCATACCGAATACTGTATATTGGTAGCGGAAAGTGGGCAGAGGGCACCATCACCTCTAAGATCTGCGCAGCGCTCGCTGCCTACCCTAGCGCCTCGAAGTCGGTTATGGTCCGCGGTCACATCGAGCCCTATGCCCCCGTCCCGCACGCTGATCGTTGTGCCAAAATGGAGATTCATAAGTCGCGCGAGAAGAGGCACGTTCTCGCCATCATGGAAGATGGACGACAGCTCATGTTCGGCTCCGGCCTGTCTGCTCACTCTTCAGATCGACCAGACCTTGTGGTCCTCTGTCACCCAAGCGTCCTTGATAGCACTGCTGACAAACAAGATCTTGCATCTGCCAAGGAAGTATTCGAACGCGAGACAATCCCATGCATCGAACTTGCTGAGACCAATCCTTTCGGAGCTGGATCTTCCGTTGATGAGAACACTACGACGTTACGGGTATGCGTAGAAGGGCGAGACAACCCGAACACTGATTACGAGCTGAAGGAGGTACTGCCCCTCGATATCCACCAGTTCGACCAACTCGAGCCATCGCAGCTCAATCGCCATCTTGCACTCATTAGTCCTCATCTAGCGAAGGCACGGGGCACGAAGGCTGCCTTGACAGCCCGCAAATCGTGGTTTAGTGACAAGACCAAGACGTCTACGAAGAAGACGGGCTCACCATGGCCAATTGCAAAGTTGCTAGCATCTGCTTTCGTCCTCTTCGCCCTCATCCCCGCGCTTCTCATGGGTGCGGCTTATACCCCTATGCTGTACCAAAAAGTGTCCCAAGGGCGGTCAGTGTCACCAGCCGTTTCAGAGATTCAAAGCAACACCACAACGATCACGCCCGTAGCGTCAGTGTCTCCAACTGCGGCTCGCTACCCGGATTCATGTCGCTCGAGCCTTGTACACGAAGCTCGAGGCCTCACTGTCGTACCGTCCCAGCCAAAGCAGGCTACCCAGAAGCCAAAGGCGAAGAACAGTCAGGCTGGAGGTTTCGAAATCCAGATCACCGGAGACCATCAGTTTGTACTCCGTCCTTCCAAGTCCTTCAATTCGAACCGGAAGAAACCCCAACTTCAGGTTCAAGTTTCTCGCCACTCTCAAGAGGTTCCAGCACATTACAACCGGACCACCACTGGCGAGTACATTGTCGACCTGGATCAGCAGTATCGATTCGATAAGTTCAATGTCAGCATTGCCACACATTCAAAGCCTCTCTTGCGGCAATCCTTCGAGGTGATGCTTGGACACAACAAGTCGACGCTAGATCAACTTCTCGACACCGCCATGTCCAACATATTGGATACACAAAACACCCTCCGCAACGTCTCCGCTGTAGCTGCACAGCACCTGCAAGAATACATGGCCGGGTTTGATCTCTACGCTTCCAAGCAACTTCAGGAGACTAAGCATCAACTGGAGATGAAGGCTCATCGGGCAAGACAGATACCGGATGCTACGTGGATGGGGTTGCGAAAGGTGACCGCGCCAGTGCGGACATCGTCAGCGATGCAAAGGGCCAGGATGAATGCTCTTCGCGTGAGGTGCAAGATGGAGACGGCGGCGGGACTGTCTGCAAAGGAAGGCGGTGAGGGGCAGAGTTGGGCATGTGCAAAGGTGGGAGGGGCGGTCTAGGGAACATGGGAAGGCGGCACGCAGTGGAGGATCTCATGTGACTTTCTGCACTGTCTTGTTTTGATTATGCGGCGTATACGGACAGGAGGGCAGACACAAGGGTGCAGTGATATACCCCTGGGACCTGGTGTGGACAGTAGGACAACTTGGGAGTTATAGGACTTGTCAAATTCATCTCATACCACGATGCATCTACAGCAGCTTGTAGATGCGCACATCTCTGTGGCTCTGTACTGTCATAGTTACGCATTGACTCATCATGTAGGACGAACTAGTTGGGTGCACGTTGCGTCAGGTGTGAAGGCGCGTTGGGCGGGCACGTCCCCTGAACCGAACCGGGTAAAGCGCGTTCTGGAGGGGCATCCCACTTCCCAATTTACAGGCAGTTGTTGACACAAGAACCCACAAACACACGACATCTCCCCCACAAACGCAGCTCTCTTCTTATTACACACAGACCCGAATACTCCGCATTCATAGAAAAAGATGTCTGAAGCAGCCAAGCCCGACCCCGCCGCCGAGCAGATCGCCAACCCTGCGGCGACTCTTGTTCAGGACGAGACCGCAAAGGTCACCACCGACAAGGCGTCTGACAAGCCCGAGACCACCACAGAGAGCAAGGATGACAAGCCCATCACAGAGAAGGCGACAGAGGCAGCGGCCGCAGTAAAGGACAACGTCTTTTCCATGTTCGGTGGCGGCCCCGCAAAGGTCAAGAAGGAGGAGGCCGACGATGTCGACGAGCCATCAGGTGCTTCCAAGCCCAAGGGCGAGGTGCGTATGTGCTACGGTGTTTTCGAGGATGTACTGACAAGGCGACAGGACGAGGACCCCGAGAACGAAGAGCCCGATGTCGACTTCCAGCCCGTCGTCCACCTCACCGAGAAGGTCGACACCAAGACCAACGAGGAGCTCGAGGAGCAAGTGTTCAAGATGCGCGCCAAGCTGTTCAAGTTCGACAGGGAATCGCGGGAGTGGAAGGAGCGCGGCACTGGTGACGTCCGGTTACTGAAGCACAAGGAGAATGGCAAGACCCGTCTCGTCATGCGCCGTGACAAGACCCTCAAGGTCTGCGCCAACCACTACGGTATGATACATGAAAGGCGGATATGAAAGCGGATACTAAGAAGTGCATAGTTGTTCCCGACATGAAGCTGTCGCCCAACGTCGGCAGCGACCGCAGCTGGGTCTGGAACGCCGCGGCCGATGTCAGCGAGGGCGAGCCCGAGGCTCAGACCCTGGCGATCCGTTTCGCCAACAGCGAGAGTGAGTCAAGAAGATGCACGAAACCGCGCAGCGGAGCACTAACTATATCTGTCAGATGCCAACCAGTTCAAGGAGGCCTTCATCAAGGCCCAGCAAGAGAACGAGGCGCTTTTCGGCAAGTCGGAGCAGTAAATGCTGTCGGATAATAACAGCTTGGAGGATGGGATGAGATACGAAAAGACGGATTGCACGAACAGTGAATGAGGAATTGGGACGGCATGATATGATGGTGGTAGAAGAGATTACCCACACCCTGCACATAACTAGATAGCAACTAAATGGCCTGACTACTGTAGTCAACGGCGTCCCCCCATGCAAGACCTGATGGCACGAAATGCGTCGACGTGTGATGGCTTTACCTTCAAGAATCGCGAAATTGACCCTGCATAGCGTGCAGTCTCACCTGCAATGCAAACGTGTGCCGATGCCGTATCACGTCTCTCACCTGGCAGAGGGCTAGTCCCCTGTCAGGCAGGCTTCCGTGCTCGTGCAGCTTTTCTTACAGCTTGATGGTTTGCGCCAAGCCAGCGCAACTAGTCTCCGTCTCCGCCGCCCCGCGACCATCTCTCAGTTAACTCGCCAAATCAGAGCTCGCGACCCGAGACCAGCCACGCCTTTACTACACGCGCCCCGGCTTTGTCGCAAGAGACCGACACGCCAGACCGCGCCCGACGTGAACCGCCTCTACACACCTCGCGTATATATTCTCCAGGCAGGCCGGAACCAATCACGCTCGCAGCAGCCCGTCTACGCAGTCCTCGCGGCGCAAATCAGACAAGATGCCTGACGTAAGTTGCGGCGTGGAGATGCCCTGAAAACCATCGCGCAAATGCTAACAACCGCGCAGATCAAGCGATGGGTCAAGCTCATCACTCACCAGAAGCCCATGTACGTACAATCCGCGCGCAATCGCATGCGCTTGCCCATCACGCGTCTACACGTCGCCAGCCGCTAATACGCATTCACAGCGCGGAGCCTTCGCCCGTTGAGGGATACCCCATGCGATCATGGAGCATAGAGGTCTGGCTGCTGGATGACCAGGGCAACGAGGTCATGCCCAGCGTCTTCGAGAAGGCCGTCTACAACCTGCATCCTTCATTCGAGAAGAACAAGCACAGTAAGTGCGCCCGACACTGCGCTCAGCAGCATGCCGCCAGCAAGAATCCCCACTAACATGCCAAAAGTCATCAAGAAGCCGCCGTTCCGCATCGATGAGAAGGGTTGGGGTGAGTTCGACATGAGCATTGTCTTGTCCGCTGTTGGCAAGGGCGGTGATCACACCCTCGAGCACGACCTCAACTTCCAGTCGGAGCGTTATGAGGCCAAGCACCAAGTCGTAAGTACCACATACGCGTGCTATTTATCAGCCAGAACATCGCTAACCCGCCATTGCAGACTTTCCGCAACCCCAAGCCTGAGCTCCTCGCCCTCCTCGCCGAGTCTGGTCCCGCCGAGGCCAACGGCATGCGCAACAAGGACGCCGCCAAGAAGAAGGGCCGGAGAGACAAGAACGTAGACATGGAGAAGCTGGCCGATGGACTGCAGAAGCTGGGTGAGGATGACCTGCTGCACGTCGTCACCTTGGTCCACGACAACAAGACCAGCGAGACGTACACTAAGAATGACGTCGAGAGTAGGTTTCCATCATCTCCCATTGCAAGGTACGTGCTAACAGATAATAGATGGCGAGTTCCACGTCGACCTCTACACCCTACCCGATTCCCTAGTCAAGATGCTCTGGGACTTCACGTCCTCGAAAGTCGATTTATAGGTTGTTTCACGACCAGAGGTTTTATCTTGCGTCGATTCGACCCTGAGTGACCAACACAATACGATATCTCGTTCGCACGTCCACGATCCTTCCCAGCATTCTCATGCTCGAGAAACGTAGCAGCATCACGCTCGCTTGTTTCATCCTCGTAGCGGAGGGATCGTGCGGTCAACGTCTTGAGTTACCCTAGCTCTCAGTGGCCGGACACAACGTCGAACGATTATATCACTCACCCCATGTTTCTGTTCCTGTTTTCTCGTTCTTCATGAGCCTCGGAGTTTTACAAAGGGCAAAAGCTGGGTGGCTATGCATACATGGCAGCTTCTTTTGATATTGATTGGCGCTGGGAGGGTTACAGGCTTATTATAGGTGGATATGCATGGGCGAGAAATGAGATTACTTAATTCTTGGCTCGTCTTTGCGTGTACGGATTTTCGAGGTGATGGTTGTGTGGTGATGATCATTTCAATGCTTCCAGGGAGTGCGATCAAGCACTACCGGCCACCCAATACATGAATCATAACATCCGGATAGCACTCTGCGCTGACTTTTCACAGGTCGACCACGGTTGTTCAGCAAGGACCAAGAGGTAACACACCGTAGGAGTACTGGAGTCTGGCTATACTGCGATACACTTGCCATGCCTCATCGGCATGGAAACCTTCCTACACTTCTACTGACTCATTCCAGAACCAATACTAACACATCGCTAAGCATGAACCCCAAGCTCGCACTCCTTCAATCGATGGCATGTCGGATTGTGGAGTGGTAGCAGCTTTGGCACTGCTCAACGAAAGCGTAGAAGAGTGGGTGCACGATGATGATGATCATCATCATCATCGAGAATACAGCGACAAGCTCGAGGCGCGTTGTATGACGGGGAGAGAGACGCTGTCCGCAGGACATGACGTCGTCGCTTGCCCTTTTCGGAACTCTCTCACTCTCACTCCATCCAAAGCCATTACCATCGTTTTGGTAAAAGAGGAGGAGAATGAGGATCTCTGGTGTTAAATAGAAGAGAAGCAGTCTCAGCCAAGACCCAGAGACTTTTATATGCCGGTCCTTCGTGCTTTTCATTCACATGTGCATCGATACTTTGAGGTATTAGAGCTGCTCTTTGTCTCAAACTCATGAATTTGTGATTTAGCGGTTTTTGGCACAGCAGAGCTTCTCAGACATTCAATTGTCTCTATAACGTTTTTTGACAGAGCAGGCAAAGAACCATATCTGCTTTGCCTTCGAATTTTGAAAGCAGAGTTCGTCCGCACATCTCAGGAGTCGACAACTGTTTCGAGTAGGCTTGGAAGTCGCGCAAAATGCACATATCTTGTTTGTCGTGAACCTTTGTTCATTTTTGTGCAGCTATAGCTTTTTGGTATTTCGGAAACTCCCCTGGAGAGGTTGGAGAGTAGACTACTGGAGATGAATAGAAGAGTCTTCTGGACGGCGTTGCGGCTAGCGCTGTGTTCGCTGATCGTGTGTCTGCGGAGGGCAGGAGACTCGCATAGGGGTTGGGTTGGTTTTTTTCAAGGAGGAAAGAAGGCGGAGACCATTGCAGAGCAAGTTGATCGTTTTGAGACTCGGAGGAGAGGACAGTCATGTACGTTGTCAGAATGATCTTTTTTAGTTCCGCAACCATGTTTCTATAGTACATTGGTTTTGGAGGTGAATGTTTTAGAATAGTATTAGGAGGGAAGAACAGGAGAGGAAGTACATGGTGTTTATAGTCCTCCAGTCGGACATGAATCTTGCCATGTCGACTTTGAGCCTGCACAATTCCTCGAAACGAAATGAATCGCTGCGCCAACGACTTTGGGTCATCCCAAACTTCTGCGTGTGTTTTGAATAAGAAGCGCTAAATGTCTGCGTGCCGGAGCACCCAGCACACCACACATGGACTTGTAGTTTTCAATATTCGGTTCCATTCAGTATTCGTTTGTGGCTTTTGAAAGATTCATCGAAAGAATGGTGAGAGGAAGAAGGCCCGAGTAGAGGCAGACGAAGTTTTAATATCCCTCGATGAAACAAGGTTGGAAAACATGACCGTAGCATTGCGTGGGATACGCATACAGTGTATACTGTAGTCTTTTTGTTCTCGACAAATCGGCTTTCGCCAATATATAGGTAGAATATCCAGTCGCTGGACACATATAGAGCAGCGGAACTGGATTTTGAACTCCATGCGTCTAGGCCTCCAAAGATTGCAAAAGGGTGTAAAAGCCTCGCGAGGACCTGAGGAGCGGACATGGACGAGATTGTAAACTTCTTTGGTCGGAAAAGGGTCCGAGGAACAAACATAGGCGTTCTGTAATGCGATCTTATTGAATAAGACGAGGCGCAGCAGAGAACCGCCATCGATCATGAGGCTGTCTTTTTTGACTGCGCAGCCATGAAGCCGTGTTGTGTGAAGTTTGGATAGTCTGGCAGAAAGACCGACAAGGGCATAAGTCTGCTCGACAGATCATTTTGAAGCAAGGTATATGTTTGAATATTGGAAGAGCCGAAAGACATTAGATATCAATTCGTGTGTTTTGAACAGCCACCACTGATCATGAGAAGGGAAGTAGGAGTTTTTGGAAGACATGGCCTGTCCACTTCCGTTTTTTTAGAAAGAAGAGGAAGAAATATTGGTACAAAGGAGAGACGGTCAAGCAGAGGAAAAGCAGGGCGGAAGACAGCCATCGATAGTTGGTCGCTCCGTTTGTGGCTGCGCAACCAGGTAATATGCATGCGAATATTTGGAAATAGCGGAGACGAGAACGACAGTGCCAGCTTTCGACCCGGAGAAAACATAGCGGATCTTTAAGTTGGTTTGAAAATCGGAAGAGCAGAAACACATGGGAATGGCCTGCGCGTTTTTGGACAGCCAGGACTGGTCATTGTGTCGGACTGTATGCTTTTTGGAAGACATGGCATCTTCTCCATGCTTTTTTGGGAAGAAGAGGAAGGAACGTGGGTGTATGGAAGAAGTCTGAGCAGAGAGGAAAGCTCGACGGATGACTGCCATAACATATGCTAGGGAATCTTTTGGTATTCTTCTGGCTGCGCAACCATAGATCCTTTATGTGCAGATTTGAGAAGTCCAGCGGAAAGACATGTACAAATCGTTTTCATCTTTCGACCCGAGAAACGCATGTCTAACTAGTATCTCTATTTTGGAAGCTTCGGAAGAAGGGATGACATGAAAAGTGTTCTATGATGTTTTGTTTTCGACAGCCAGCACCAGTCATGATCTGTAGATACAGCGATTTTTGAAGACATGTCTATATCATAACCTCTTTTTGAGAGTAAAGGAAGGAAGGTTTGGTATGAGAAAGACGACGGGGCAGAAAGAAAGCTGGTATTTATACCTCTACAGCGC